CTGCACTGGGTGCTGGCATCTACACCACCAGTTGTGCTGGCATCTACACCACCAGTTGTGCTGGCATCTACACCACCAGTTGTGCTGGCATCTACACCACCAGTTGTGCTGGCATCTACACCACCAGTTGTGCTGGCATCTACACCACCAGTTGTGCTGGCATCTACACCACCAGTTGTGCTGGCATCTACACCACCAGTTGTGCTGGCATCTACACCACCAGTTGTGCTGGCATCTACACCACCAGTTGTGCTGGCATCTACACCACCAGTTGTGCTGGCATCTACACCACCAGTTGTGCTACCACCCTTTCTTCATGTCCCCGTTTGTAGGATGCAAGGTCATGCTACCATTTGGTACCATAAGTGAGTAAGTTTAGATAGCTAGGTACGATCAGTGCGCTGCAAGATGGTTGTGACGGTGGCTGGAGTCACCGCTCTAGCTGCTGGCATCTAAACGATAAGGTGAGGATTGTCTCTCTCCACCATGTCGTGCTGCAGTGTCGCATGCTGTAGTGTCGCGTGCTGCAGTGTCGCGTGCTGCAGTGTCGCGTGCTGCAGTGTCGCGTGCTGCAGTGTCGCGTGCTGCAGTGTCGCGTGCTGCAATGCCGCGTGCTGCAGTGTCGCGTGCTGCAGTGTCGGGTGCTGTCGGGTGCACCGTTTGTAGTACGGGGACATCAACAAAGGGTGCGCCAGTCCCTCAGTCCCTCTCACCCGTTGTCAGTATGCTGCAGTGCCAGCCTGCCAGGTCGCGAGGACTTTGAGATCCAACCCTCTCCATTGCCTCGACTCACGCTTTGTTTTTGCAGGGAGGGAGCAAGGGTGGTGTGGCACTACATTGATCGTCTCCTGGGGCAGCTGTCTCCTCAGGGGGTCCTCCAGAGGCCCATACCCTTGGTCCCGGGGGCTGATTCCCCTCTCCTTGACTTTCTATCCCTTCCCTTCCCTGCCCTGCCCTTCCCTGCCCTTCCATTCCCTGCCCTTCCCTTCCCTTCCCTTCCCTTCCCTGCCCTTCCCTGCCCTGCCCTTCCCTTGCCTTCCCTTTCCTTGTTGCAGGGAGGGTGCCCGTGTGGTGTGGCACTACATCGACCGCCTCTTGGGCCAGCCGTCTCTCGTTAGGGAGTCCTCCAGAGGGCCATACCCCTGGTCCCGGGGGCTGAGGCGCCTGTCCTCTGCGCTCGCTGCTCCCTTCTCCCGTGTTCCTAATGCTGCTGCTGGCGCCACAGCAACAGGTGGGTAAGAGAGGGACAGAGAGGGGTTATCAGTCGTCCAGAGGGCACTATCTCTGGTCGCAAGGGCTGAGGCGCCTGTCCTCTGCACTCGCTGCTCCCTTCTCACGTGTTCCTGCCGCTGCAGCTGGTGCCAGTGCGACAGGTGGGTAAGAGAGGGAGAGAGGGGGGTCATCAGTCGTCCAGAGGGCACTATCTCTGGTCGCAAGGGCTGAGGCGCCTCTCCTCTGCACTTGCTGCTCCGTTCCCCCGCGTTCCTGCGCGTTCCCCCACGTTCCTGCACCGCAGCCACCAGTGCTGGTGCTACAGGTGGGTGCTAGAGGGGAAGAGAGGGGCTATCAGTTCCAGAGGGCCCTACCCCTGGTCATTGGGGCTAAGGCGCCTCTCCTCTGCTCTTGTTGGTGGTTCTACACCCGTCGCTGCACCACCGCATTCGGCAGCTATGTGCTGCGACCTCCAGCACCAAGAAGCATGGATCCCGTGTCTCTGCCCCTCCTCTCACCGCTATCAACTCCTCTTCACCCCCTCCCCTTCCTCCCCTTGCAAATCTACTCCCTCTATCGCAGGAGCAGCAACAGCAGAAGCCGCAGCAGCAGGAGCAGGGGGGGCAGCAGCATCAGCGCTTATGAAATCCGGCAGAGGCTTTGGCGATGTGATTCTGCACCCGTCGCTGCACCACCGCATTCGGCAGCTGGCTGCTGCCACCGCCAACACCAAGAAGCATGGAGCCCCGTTCCGAAACATGCTCTTCTTTGGCCCTCCTGGGACCGGCAAAACCATGGCTGCCAAAGAGCTTGCCAGGCAATCGGTTAGTGTTCAAGCTACCAAGGAAGGCGCTCAGGGTTTCAGGTTGGTTTGGTTTGGTTTAGGGTTTAAGCAGTGGCTACTGATTTTTTAGTCGACTAAAAAATCAGCTACCAAGGAAGGCGTTCAGGGTTTCAGGTCAGTTTGGTTTAGTTTAGGGTATAAGCAATGGCTACTGCACCAGCCAACAACAAGCAGCATGGAGCCCCGTTCAGAAACATGCTCTTACTTGACCCTCCTGGCACCGCCAAGGCAATGGTTGCTTAGTAGCCCGCCAGGCAATCGGTTAGTGTTCATGCTACTAGGTGCTCAGGGTTCAGGGTTTTAGGTTAGGACAGGTAGCTGCTGGCACCACCAACACCAAGAGGCACGGCACCCCGTTCAGAAACATTCCCTTCTTTGGGCCACTGGGGTCAGGCAAAACTATGGTTGCTAAGAAGCAGTCAGTGAGTGCTGATAACCAATGTTGCTGCTCTCTTTCCCTCTCTCCTCCTCACAACCTCGCAGGGTCTGGACTACCATGCTCTCATGACAGGAGGAGACGCGGCCCCTTCAGGGCTGCAAGCGGTCACCAAGGCCCACCAGACTTTTGATTTGACTCTCTTGTCTCTATTGCTTCTCTCCCTCTCCTCACAACCTCGCAGGGTCTGGACTATGCTCTCATGACAGGAGGAGACGTGGCCCCCTTAGGCCCGCAAGCAGTGACGAAGATCCACCAGATGTTTGACTGGGCGGCACACACCCAGCGCGGGCTGCTGCTGTTCATCGACGAGGCGGACGCCTTTCTCTGCGAGTGAGTAGCGAGTGACCCTAAAACCCAGACCAAAAACCTTTCTGTGTGTAGTGTTTCGTGCATCTCTGCTCACCATCACGTTCATGCCTGCAAATGGGTGTGTGTAGCCGACCACCCACCACCCACCACCCACCACCCACCACCCACCACCCACAACCCACCACCCACCACCCACCACCCACCACCCACAACCCACCACCCACAACCCACCACCCATCACCCAACACCCAACACCTATTACCCATCCCTTTATTGACACCAGGCGCAACAAGATCACCATGAGCGAGGTGCAGCGCTCCGCCCTCAACGCCATGCTCTTCTGCACGAGCAACCAGTCACTTCCGTGTTTGACTCTGGAATGTTTTCCTCTGTGTGGATTTACCCCGTCAGGCGCAACAAGATCACCATGTCTGAAGCGCAGCGATCCGCCCTCAACGCCATGCTCTTCCGCACGGGCGACCAATCGCGCGACATCGTGCTCGTACTCGCTACAAACAGACCCGAGGATCTGGACAGCGCAGTCACCGACCGAATCGATGAAATGATGGAGTTTCCGTTACCCAGGGAAGAAGAACGGTTCCGCCTGCTCCAGCTGTACCTCCACCGCTACGTGACGAACTCGGGCGACGGCAGGAAGTGGTGGAAGCGCGGGGGAGGGGGGATCGCTGGAATTTTCCGGAAGCAGGAGCAGATTGAGGTGAAGGGGGTGTCAGAGGATGTGCTGAGGGACGCTGCAAGGAAGATGGAAGGGTTTTCGGGGCGTGAAATTGCCAAGTTTATGGCGAGTGTGCGCGGCGCAGTGTACGGGAGCAAGGAGAGTGTGCTGGACGCGCGGCTGTTCCTGGAGGTGGTGGACTATAAGGTGGCTGAGCACCAGCAGAGGCGGGAGCTGGCTGCAGGGAAGGGCAGGGAAGGAGAGGAGGGTGAAGGGAGTGGTGCAGAGGAAAAGCAACACACACATTAGTGAGTGTGTTAGTGAAGGGAACGTGGAAAGGAACGAGGAGGGCAGTTGTGTGGAGGAGCAACTAGCATAGCCACGGGCGGGATGATGGAAATGTGGTTCTGGAACGCTTTGGAAATTGACATGCCATGCATGACCTTACTGCAATGTCATCAGCAGATTTATCAGTTGAACACCTAAGTGGTGTTTGGTACTTGATCTGTGCTGGATCAATTGATTCTACATTGAACTAGTGCATTGCATTGCACTTCATTTGTGGGCATGATGTTTGTTTAGTGGGACCTTGTAGTAGTTGACCTGATTTGTGCCTGTTATGAATTATAGCTCAGAGGATAGCGCAGCATTTAATAAGGGGAACTTGATTACAATGTGTCGATACAAATGAGGGCATGGGGAATATGTAGGTGTGTTGACCAGGGTTGAATGTTGAGGTTGGAGCAGTCAAGGGCTCGAGAGTCTCGAGGGTGACGGGGGCGAAATGGGTTCGGAGCGACTCGGGATGAGCTTGGGGGCAGAATAGTTCGGCAGGGGCTGGTTTTGTGCTAGAACCGAGGGCCGAGCCTGCGGACGCGAAGTATTTGCGTGTACTCGCTGAAGCGAGCCCCAGTAAGGAATCGAAATTCCTTACAGTACCCTTCCCTCCAGTTATGAGTTGGTGTAACTGTGTAAACTTTCGCCTCATGCAAATGTTGCTGAGTTTTCGAGAAGTAACCCGTCGCTTCGAGATTTCGCCAGTCACTTACTGTTGAAATGCAGCCACTTGGGGAGTTCGTCACCCCGTGTTCTTTGGAACCACTGTACCGTAACGTCCAGGGCTGATACGGATGTTTCCCACCTGAGGTTATACCTGAGATGGAGGACCAGAGAAATCTGAAAGCGTACAGCTGCATCAGCGCCTCGAGGAATCGGCTACAGTACAGTGCCTTCAGAACCGAACAGAGCGCGGAGCTGCTTCCATCACCCTGCCCCCTCCCCTCCTCCGCTTTCACCTGAGGAGAAATTGCCACCCTTAGTGGAGCATGGTGCAAGCGAGGAGTAATAAAAAAAAGGGGTCGTAAGTCAAACCGTAACCACACTAAAAAATACGGTATTTCTCTCCACCGAATTATGCTGCTTTCAACCCCTTTCGAATTGGGACTTGGGGGGTGATGATGAGTTCCACCATCCAGCGTCGTCACTACGACTACCTTCAGACAAATCCACAAGAGCAGACTGGACACATCCTGTACGTGTACTGCAACACCACCACCACCACCACCACCACCACCAGTCTGCACACTTGCTCACCGCCATCTCGCGTGACTATTCTCCCGTGAACACTAGTGTTGTTCAATACCTACGTCTAGTAATAATAACTGAAGCGGCGATTATTACAGACCAGTCCCGCAAGACACGCGTATCAACCCGACCTTTCACCGCACAACCTCGCCACCCTTTATCGAACCTAGGCTCCCCCGTTGCTTCTGAATCTGAGCCCCTACGTCTCGAGTCCGCGTATCGGTCCAGAGATCCATGGCTGCTCTCCGGTTAACGGCGGCCGTCCAGCTGCTGCTAGGTACGTGCACACGTCTGCGTCTTTAGTAGCGGGAGCGGCAGCCAATAGCTAGTAAGCACACGGCCACGGTAACGGCGGCCGTCCAGCTGCTGCTAGGTACGTGCGCAAGGCTGCGTCGTGGGTGGCGGAGTCATTCCAACAACGTCTTTAGCAGCTGTGGCGAAAGGGAGTACTTATTAGGCACAGTTATTACTCGTTGGTTACCGGTTGTTACCGGTTGTTTCCGTGGTTACTGCTTTCAGCACATGGCAGCCGTCGAGCTGCTGCCAGGTACGTGACCAAGGCTGCGTCTCTATAAGCGGTAGCGGAAGAGAACACTTATCCATAACACACGGCCGCAGATATTTATTAATGGCCGCTGTTTTAGTCGTAGATTTCAGCACGCGGCGGCCGTCCAACTGCTGCTCGGCAGGTTCCTTCTAAGCCGACTTAAAGTCCACAAGGCTGCGTCTTTAGGAGCGGTGGCGGAAGTCGAAACTTATTCGTGGCCGCTGTTTCAGTAGCAATAGGGTTCAGGTGACTTCTGAGTTGACTCAAAAGTCACATCGTTGTTTCAATTGTTGTAGGTTTCAGCACACAGCAGCAGTTTAGCTACCGCTCGGCGTGTGTTCAGGACTGCGACGTTATACGCGTTAGCGGGCAGAACTGATAACGAATCGTGGCCGCTGTTTCAGGATCTTCGGATATGAGCAAGAATGCGGAAACATAAGTACTCGGTTGAGTTACCCTAGAAGTTACCCTAGACGTTATCCGTGATACCCTTTCGATGGGTTTCCGGTGAAGTTACGAGCTGGTAACTGCTGTGTCGACTTCGTGCAAGTACCGGCGTTGTTTCGCACAGAAATCGCAAACTGCTAATTTGCTTCGCATAGAAACCGCAGCGTCATGTCGTCGAACTAGGAACTCGTCGAACTAGGAACTCGTCTGCTTAGTGACTTCCGCTTAGTGTCTCTGCAGCCGTTTATACCCTCTTTGTCTCCCAATCTCTGTCCCTCCCGGCATGCCTCCGCCTCTCCCCGCGTGCCTCGCTGCCGCAGTCGTCGCTGCTCTCGCCGCATTACCCACCACTTTACCCGCCGAGCTGCTGAGGCTCCCCACCGCGAGCTTAACGTTTCTTTCTCTCCCTCTCGCGGATAAGCTCGTTTTTTTATACTACATCTCTCAACCTCTCCCTCTCCTCACGTGCACGTGTCCCCTCCCTTCCCCCAGTTGCGACAATCCTCGCCTCATTACCTGCCGAGCCGCTAGCTGAGATTCCCCGCCGCGAGCTCAAAATACTTGATAACCTTCTCGGTAAGAGACGACTCGGTAAGAGACGGCTCGGTAAGAGACGGCTCGGTAAGAGACGGCTCGGTAAGAGACGGCTCGGTAAGAGACGGCTCGGTAAGAGACGGCTCGGTAAGAGACGGCTCGGTAAGAGACGGCTCGGTAAGAGACGGCTCGGTAAGAGACGGCTCGGTACGAGACGGCTTGGCAAGAGACGGCTCGGTACGACTCGGTAAGAGACGAATCGGTAAGAGACGACTCGGTAAGAGACGACTCGGTAAGAGACGACTCGGTAAGAGACGACTCGGTAAGAGACGACTCGGTAAGAGACGACTCGGTAAGAGACGACTCGGTAAGAGACGACTCGGTAAGAGACGACTCGGTAAGAGACGACTCGGTAAGAGACGACTCGGTAAGAGACGACTCGGTAAGAGACGATTCGGTAAGAGACGACTCGGTAAGAGACGACTCGGTAAGAGACGAATCGGTAAGAGACGATCAGACGAATATTTCCCTGTTCCTCCCTCGTCCCCCCTCTCCCCCCCCCACCCCCCCCCCCCCCCACCCTCCTCTCCCCTTCTGGAAGCTCCTTTCTCTCCTGCGCTGTCTCCATCTTTCAACCTCTCTCCCTCCCTCCCCCTTAGCCCCCTTCCCCCCACCCTCCTCCCCCCCTCTGAAAGCTGCTTTCTCTCCTTCGCTGTCTCTAACTCCCAACTCCTCTCTCTTCCTGCCCTTTCCCCCTACCTGCTTGCCTCCGCAGGCCGCTATGTCCTCAGCGTCACAGGAACCAACGTCACCAACGCCGTCCTCACAGTCTACCTGCCCCCCGCACTCCTCATCTTGCCTTCTCTCTCTCTCTCTCCCGCTTCTCCCCTGACCTGCTCGTCTCGTCGCCTCCGCAGGCCGCTATTACCTCAGCGTCACCGGAACCAACGTCACAAGCGCCGTCCTCACCTTGAACGTCACGTAAGTCTCCTAGTGCGCGCATGTCGTACGTTGAGCCCAAGTGTTGTGTACGCGTATCCAAATGGCTATTCAAACGGTTATCACATGTCACATCTGGCTACTGTCACCAGGGCTGTCCTCTCTTCATCATCACCTTCTTTGCTGCCTTCCCCAACCGCCTTCCCCCTTCGCCCCCTCTAATCCTTGTTCCTTCCCCTGCAGCAACCCCACCAAGGCCAAGACACTTGCAGCATACGTCATCACCTTCCAAGCAACCATCGAGATGGCCCCGAATTCTCTCACCGTCACAGACCCGCCGTCCTTCTTTATCGTCTTCCCCAACGGCCACCTCTACTATCTCAACGACGGCACCTCGTGGACGCTCAACCAGGAGTACGAGCAGGTCTGCTCCGATAACCCCGATTACCTTGCCGCCGCCGCTGCTGCTGCTGAAGCTGCTGCTGCCGCTGCTGCTGAAGCTGCCGCCGCTGCTGCTGCTGCAGGCACCAACAGCACTGACAGCACTGGCAGCACCGACAGCACCGGCGGCACCGACGCCACCGGCACCGACAGCGCTGGAAGCACCGACAGCACCGGTACTCCTGTTGTTTATACCGATGCTGACGGTAACGAGATTCCGGCCCAGATTTGCGTTGACAACCTGGTGAAGACGACCCACACCCTCGAGCCGTCGACGTTCACGGGACGCAGGAGCTACTTCAGCAAGAAGGACTACATGTTCATAGACTGGAACCAGCTCGGGTGCCCGGACGTCTACTTCCGGTTCGGAGTGCCGGTGCTGGGGCGTGCGTCGGGACTCCTGGCGAAGGTGGCCTAGGGTTTTCGAGACGAGTGGGGGTCAACAGAGGGGGGGGCAGATGAGTAGGAGCCTTCCGGTTGTGGAGATGATCGAAGCTTTCTTCTCAACAGGGTTGTAACATGTGCGGGTGTCAGGATTCCTTTGTTCTTTTGGGTGTTTGAGGGTTACGATACTACCATGGGGTGCAGTCTGCCGCACTCCCACCAATACCATGCTTTCTTCTGTAATGTACGGCAGTGTAGGCTGGCTGAAGGCTGCTGTCATTGTAATTTGTTTTGATTTTCAGTGGCTGTTGTAGAATACAGTTTTTGGGTTAATGGAATGTCCATGTCAATCACTTGCTGTTGGAGCAAAAGGCATGTGAGACAAATTGCACTACTATTTATTAAGTACCTAGTATGCTTTGTTGCACTAGCAAATCAAGGGTTGTTGTACGGTAGTAGTGGTATGTCAAACATATATTGTATGTTACTGTAGACTATATAGGGTTGTGCCTTAGGGAGTACAACCCATTAGGATATATACCCTTGTATGCCTTGTTTTAGTTAACACTTTTCACTTTAACATGGTATCATGAGTAGGTAGGTCCCCCTTGTCAAAATTATATAGTGTGTTATATAATTTGTAGGCTTGGTAGGTAACTGAACCGTACTGTAGAGGGTACAAACCCCTCCTTGTATGCCTCTCTCTTCCTAGTCCAACCTCTTCTTTCTCGACATTCTCTTCCATCTCCTAGATCTACTTACCTCCTGCCATTCCATGGTGGCTTTCCTAGCCTCCTAGTTTCCTATCTTAAGTAGCTAGTGTCCTAAGTTCTTTTGAGACCCCCCCCCCCCCCTAGCGCTTCCGCCCTAGGTCCTAGCCGCCACGCACGTGGGGGCCCCTCTCCTAGCCAGCCCCGTCGCCTAGCTGGCCCCGTAGCCCAGCCCGCCCCGTCGCCTAGCCGGTCCCGCCTCCTAGCAGGCCCCGTCGTCCAGTCGGCCCCGTCGTCCAGTCGGCTCCGTCGGCCCGGCCTCCTAGCTGGCCCCGCCGCCCAATCGTCCCCGTCGGCCACGCCTCCTAGCTAGCCCCGCCGCCCAATTGGCCCATTCGACCCCGCCTCCTAGCTGGCCCCGACGCCCAATCGGCCCCGTTAACCCCGCCTCCTAGCTGGCCCCGCCGCCCAAATCGGCCCCGCCGTCCTAGCCGGCCCCGTTCTCCTCGACGGCCTAGCCTCCTAGCTCAGTCGGCCCCGCCTCCTAGCTGGCCCCGTCGCCCACTCGGCCCCGTCGCCTAGCCCTCCCCATTGTCCGACCGGCCCCATCGCCTAGCTGGTCCCCGTCGCCTAGCCGGCCCCCATAGCCCAGCCGCCCCCCCCCCCCCCTAGCCGGACCCGTCGCCTCTCCAGCCTCATCGCCCAGTCGACCCCGCCTCCTAGCCGACCCCGACCCCTTGCAGGCCCCGTCGCCCGATCGGCCCTGTCCCCTTGCTGGCCTCGTCGCCTACCCGGCCCCGTCGCCTTGCCGCCCGCGGCCCCGTCTCCTAGACGCCTTGCCGCCATCCTCGGCCCTCTGCAACGCGCTGCACCGCCCGGTATCGCTCTGCACCACACTGCACCACATTGCACCGCTCTGCACCGTACTGCACCGCGCTGTACCGTACTGCACCCCACCCTACCGTACGGCACCTCCCTCTACCGCACAGTACCGCACTGCACCGCACTTCACCGCTTTCGCTACCCTCTACTGCCCAGTACCGTCTTTCTCCTGCTGCTGCAACCATGATGGCGGACTCGGTCCTGCGTTTCGATGCGGAGGGGCAGCCGATTGAGTTCGACTAGTGGCTCGTCGACCTCCAGCGCCACCTGACTGGTCAGCGGCAGGACGGCCACTCTCTGGCCATCCACATCGACGATACGCTCCCCTGACGGATTCCGCAGTTGCCCCTGACCGGACCCCCTTGCTGCCCTCCCCGCTGACCCCACCTCTGCTGACCGTGAGTCCGCTGTAGCTGCTGCCCTTGCTCGTGCTGTTTGGTTATCGCGTCACGCTGTTGCACAGCTTGCGATTAGTCATGCCCTTCCCCTGTCCGAGCGCCCCCGCTTTAGGTCAGTCAGGACTGCGCAAGAGCTCCTAGAGGCTGTTGTTGTGCGCTATTCCATCCCGCCCTCTGCCTCCGTAGGTCATCTGATCCTGCCCATGCTTTGACAACCACCCGTCACTTCTGTGGCACCACCGTCTAGGTCACCCTGCCCTCACCCGTCTCCGTCACATGTCCCAGAACCGTCTTGTCCTAGGCCTCCTTGAGTCGTTCCCTTCGCTTCCCTCCTCACTCGCGCCTCCGTGCACGCCCTGCGTCGAGGGCCGGCTCCGCCGTGCCCCTCACTCCTCCTCGTTCCCCCTACCTCCGCACCGCTGCGGACCCTGCACATGGATGTCTGGGGCCCCGCTCCTATCCATGGGCCGTGTCGCGAGCGCTACTTCCTAGTGCTTGTCGACGACTACACCCGCTACACCACTGTCTTTCCCCTGGAGCGGAAGGCCGACATGCCTGATGTTCTTCTCCCATGACTTGTCTCTGCGTGTGCACCGAGGTCTCCCTGTGTTGCGTCTTCACTCCGACCATGGTGGCAAGTTAGCCTCTAGCTACCTTGGTCGCTTCTGTCGTGCGGAGGGCATCACCCAGATGTTCACCCTGCCGGACTCCCCACAGCAGAATGGGGTCGCTGAGCGACGCATCGGTTTGGTCATGGAGGTTGCTCGTACCTTCATGATCCATGCCGATGCACCCCATTTTCTGTGGCCGTTTGCCGTTTGCTACGCCGCTCAGCAGCTTAACCTCTGGCCGCACCCTCAGCGGTCGCAAGTTTCGCCGACCCTCCTCTGGACCGGGTCTCCTGGTGACGCGTTTGCGTTCCACGTCTGGGGCTGCCTTGCTCACGTTAGTGCCTGTGGCACGGACAAGCTCACTGCCCGCACTGTCCCCTGTGTCCTCCTAGGTTTCCCCCTTGACTAGTCTGACTTGCAGTTCTACCACCCGCCTTTTCACCGTTTCTTTCACTCTCGTAACGTCACTTTTGACGAGTTCGTCTCCTTCTACCACCGCTTTCCCCACCGTGGTCCCCCGGTCACTCCCCCCCAGTTCCTAGTGCCCCCCCCTCCCCCGGAAGACCCTGTCCCCCCCCTCCCTGCCCTGCCCCATCTGGTGTGTCTCACGTCACCCCCCTCCTGTCGGTTGTCCCTGCCAAGGAGTCCACTGACTCTCGCAGTTCGGCGGAGTCTCTTCCCCTGCCTTTCCCTGCCTCGGTCTCGCCTCCCCTGTCATCGCCGTTGCTGTTCCCGTCGCAGCCGCCTCCGCCACTGCCGCAGCTGCTGTCGCCACCGCCGCTAGGGTTCGTGCGTTTTGGGGGTGCTGGGGAGCGGGCTGGAGCTGGTTCTGGAGCAGGCTCTGGGGGTGCTGGCGTTGGGCTTCTTGGAGGGAGCCGTGTTGTCGCTGGAGGTTCTGGTATTGGAGTCGGGCAACAGCCGCAGTCGTCGACGCCGGTGTCCGCTCTTCGCCTCCTCGGTCTCCCTTCCCCTAACCGCCTGTCGCTGCCTCCCCCGCTGCCGCCGCCTCCTCCTCAGCTGGTCCACGGCCCCGTGTTTCCTCCCCTGGACTCCTCTTCGGCTCGTTTCCATTCCAGTTCTCCTCTTCTATCTCCTCCCCTCTCTCCTAATCCGACTCCTCCGTCTCACGTCTGGCCTCGTCCGTCTCGTGCTCATCCTACCTCCCCTGTTCTGCGTTCTCACCCTATGATGCTTCGCTCTCACGCGTCTCGTGCTCCTCCTCTTCTCCCGTCTCCTCCTCCGTCGTCGCTTGCTGTGGCCCCGCCTCCGTTCTCGGACTTCCTCCGTGATGCGCGTCCCCTTGTTCCTCGTGTCATTGCCTCTCTCGTTACTGACCAGTCCGTTCCTGTCTCGAGTCTATCGGCTCTTGTCGCTGCTGTCACTGACTTCGCCGCTACCCGCCGCCTTGACTACACCACCGCTCTGGACTCTGACCCTGCCTGCCCTCCGGCCGTCGGGGGTGTGGCTGCTCTTGGCAGTGACGTCCTAGAGGACCGGCAGTTCGAGCTCGCTTTCCTGTCTGAGGCCGCTCCCCATCTCTGTTCCATGTTACTAGTCCCTGAGGGTGACCCAAACGCCTTCGACATCCCGACGCCTAGCACCTACGCTGAGGCCACCTCGAGACCCTGGGCCTCTCATTGGATAGCTGCCATGGAGCAGGAGATGGCATCTTAGAGATCCACAGGCACCTACGTCGACGCTGTTCCCCCACCCAGGGTGAACGTAGTCGATGGCCGGTGGCTCTTCAAGGTGAAGCGCCCCCCTGGAGAGCCGCCTGTGTTCAAGGCGCGCTACGTGGCTAGAGGCTTTAGTCAGCGAGAGGGGGTGGACTTGTTTCAGACCTTCGCCTCTACCTACGCCGCCCCCAGGGCTTCTCCCTTGGCACCGAGCCTTGACGCTCTTGTCGTTGCTGTCTCTAAACTCGCCGCTACCCGCCGCCCTGACTACGCCACTGCTCTGGTCTCTGACCTTGCCTGCCCTCCGCCCGTCGGGGGTGTGGCTGCCCTTAGCAGTGACGTCATAGAGCACAGACAATACGAGCCTGCTTTCCTGTCGGAGGCCGCTCCCCATCTCAGTTCCATGCTGCTAGTCCCTGATGGTGACCCAGACGTCCTTGACATCCCGACGCCTCACACCTACGCTGAGGCCACCTCGGGACCCTGGGCCTCTCAGTGGATAGCTGCCATGGAACAAGAGATGCCACCTTGGAGATCCACCGGTACCTTCGTCGACGTAGCTCCTCCACCTGGGGTGAACGTAGTCGATGGCCGATGGCTCTTCAAGGTGAAGCGCCCTCCTAGAGAGCCGCATGTGTTCAAGGCGCGCTACGTTGCTCGAGGCTTCAGTCAGCGTGAGGGGGTGGATTTCTTTCAGACCTTCGCCTCGACCCCGAAGATGACTACTCTTCGGGAACTACTATACGTAGCAGCGCAGTGTGACTACGAGCTTCACTCCCTCGACTTCTCCACAGCTTTCCTCCAAGGCAGTCGACACGAGCAGGTCTACCTACTTTGCCCCCATGGCTTCTCCGGTATCTTCCCCGTTGGCACCGAGTGGCTCCTCCGGCGCCCCGTCTACGGCTTGCGACAGGCGCCCCGTGAATGGCACGACACGCTGCGTGCTACACTTACTGACTTGCAGTTCTTCCCTTCGTCTGCAGACCCCTCGCTCTTCATCCGTTCCGACCAGACTCCGTTCTATATCCTTGTCTACATAGACAATCTGGTCTTTGCT